TTTTCGTGTTTATTCCGTGCAGATGGCTCCATTTTGAACATCCAGAATTTGTTTTGACTTTCTGACTATAGCTTGTAAACAGAGAGTTGGCTGTCATCTGTACCGGGTATAGGTAGCTTTTCATATTTGATATAAAATTGAGTGAGCCTGTAGCCAAACCATTAGTCAGTCAAAATAATGCTGCAAGCCGGTTAAAGACAGCATATCCAAACCATGAGGGAAGCCTGACTTAGAGGCGGTAGCATTGTCCATAAATTGACAAATTGATGCGCTAGCGGTGTTTCACTTACACAGCTACTTTAGCCAGACTCTAAATGCAGCTTTGCAAATGAAGGCATCTCACTATTAAATGTTTTGAACTGAATCACACAGAAGTTCTGTTACGTGAATGTGTTGATACAAATAATGCAGGGAAAATGCATAGATATACATGTATTTGTAACTCAAGATGCAGAAAACTCAGTTGCATCGCTATTAAGCATGAAACCACTAGTGCTGATTCTTGTCTGTGTGTATTACTTGTATGGAAATGATTTCCAAGGACAAATGAATACCAAAAATGTAAAGTTCTCTACTTTTTCTTTTGTCAGATCCACTCCTAATCTTGCAGATGAGGTTTTAGGGTTATTTTTCCTGCTAGCACTATTTAAATGCTCTAGCTCTTTTCTATATATTAGTTAACAGAAAGGGACACCGATTTTGATTTGTTATTTGAGAGTGTAGTCGAGCCATCGTTTGCTTTAAAAGGTTCCCTGTGCCTTTGTCTTCTCTAGTTTAAGTAACTAAGTTGAAAGATAAGTAGCCAGAGTATGTTCAAAGGCCTTGGCTTTCTTTTGTTAGACCCAATTATTCCAGAAAATACAAAATATTTTTCAATAGCTCCCCGTTACCCATTCAGAGTATATCTGTGCTTCCTGCTTATCTGCGGGTTCAGTTCTGCTTGCACGTTGCTCAGGTCTATCACCTTGCTGGAGAAATACATGATTTGTAAATCTGAAAGAATTCCCCAACAGCTACCATAAAATTAAGCTGTTAAATAGCTCTTGGAGCTTGTTTAAATGTAGACCTAAACAAACCTCTTTACTGTTTAGCTCAAGATAAATCTTTTAAAAGTCCTGTTCTAAATCACTTCCTAATTTTAATGAGTTTATATATCAGCCTTTGCCAGATTTTTACTGTAGCTATTCTCCAAGATTACAGCCATGATAAAGGAAGGAGTAAAATTGTTTATTATATATTATTCTTCAGAAGCAAAACTTTTTCCCCCGGAGGCTGTTGGGAGAGCTATTGATTTTCTGCCACAATGTGAAATGTGTGACCTTTATAATATGAGCAATGATTACAAGGCCAATAAAATGACATCATTCTGTTTAAACTTCAGAGTTCGCAGGGCAAATAGCAGAATGTGCCACATTTAATGATGTCCATGGACGATAAGCGTACATTGCCTGGCTTGAAGTGAGACTGAAACATGGGCTCTCCATCGCCAAAATATGCCCCGTGTTTGTGCCAGCAGTGGGGGAACAGGAGTAAATACAGGTACAGCTGTACCTTTTCACAGCTCATACAGCCAGAAGTCAGTGCTTTTCTGAGCACAGACTTTTCCAAATGTTTGCATTTACCAATGCCACTGACAAAACTCCTGATGTCATGCAGGATGAGCTGTTTGGGGCACAGCTGTATTCATTCGTACAGATTTTCCCCCATCCACTGTGTATGCATTTACGGGACTAAATTCTAGTCTTGTAATACAGCTTTTGCCACTTCATTGCAGTTGCTCTAGAGTAGCTGAGAGAATGCTCTGTCCCAAATACATGAAGTGTAACCACACAGCATATTGATATTCTACTACGTGTGAAAACAAGGAACATGGAAAGCTTTAGTCAGGCTTGGAGAGGGATGCCACAACCTGAATCACTGAAATAATTTTGGAGAAGAAATTTATGGAATCCCTGCATTTCTTACTTCAGTCACATCAGTCTGTTTTCCCACATTATTTTCTTCCAGTCCTTCAAACACTCATTTTTGACCCATTAAGACCCGCTTCAACCAATTCCCCATCCGTTCTCCAGCCCATACCAAGCCAGATCCCCAGCGTGGAAACCAGGATAGCTGTGATGTCCCTTTTCAGGCTGAACCACGCCTGTGCTCGGTATTTGGTCCAGCTAAATGTGGAGCCGAAGTGCTCACTGCTTAGAAAGTGCAAGCAAAGCAGCACAACACATTCAAGGCTTCACAGAGGAAGGAATAGGGATGATTTTCTTTCCCATTTCTGGCTCATTGTGTTATATCAATAATCTCTGTAGCTTTGTATTATATTTGCCGTAAGTGGCTCTAGTGATTGATCAAACACCTTAGCTTTTCTTTGGCGTTTAATCAATTGCAGCAACAGTTTATTGCTTGGTGTATTACAAAGTAAAAGAGATTATTACTTAATTATTCTGAAAAATAGCAGCTTGCAGTTGTTGCGAACACGGGTGTTTATCTACGCTGACATTGGTGTCACATCATCCTTTCCTTTGTGCCTCCTGGTCTCTGCACTGGGAGAGAACATGCGATTCCCGGTGGGTCACGCGCAGTCATTCCCGCAGCCATCCTGCAAGCACAGTGCAATTAGTGGCATTAAGTAAATAATTGCTTATGGTGAGGCTTCCCACAGTGCAAAGAGCCTGATTCTGTCACTTGCTGGGTACCTCCAAATCTCACTTAAATTTTAGGCAATGTTCTTATTAACCAGCCCACGTGAATATGAACTCACTGTCAGGTACAAACTGCTTCTGGAAACAATTCAGCAAGAATTACACGGGTACCAGGAGGCATTTTGATAGCCCAGGGTGCAGCACCGGATGTGTGCACAACTGGAGATAAATCATATATGGGGAATGTTATTGGTATGTGAGCGTGCGAAAGAAAACAAAATAACGTTCTGTGACATCCTCTCGAGGATCTAGGAAATGGCAACTGTTCTGTTTTGACACCTGAAGTTTTCTGCCCTGAGTGCCAAATTGAATCCATATGTAAGAGTTCAGAAAGAATATTATGGTGTGATAAAGTGTACAGATTTGGAGTAGTGTACACATCTGTGCCTGTAGGGGTTCCACAGGTATCATGATCAATACGTATTCTAAACCGTCTGCTTGTGGAATAGGATCTAACCCAGCTGTATTCCCGTGCAAAGGGATAGCCCAATATTTAGAATAAAAAAATGGGCATTAGTTCCTTGCTTTGCCCCTGACTTTCTCTATGATCATAGACAAGGGTATATGTTTCCTTATGCCTCAGTTTCCTTTTGTGAAGGAAACCATTGTTCACTACCATAGAGAACCCTATGACATTAAGGGCTGCCAGCTGCTTCTCCACTGTGGTAATGAATGCTGTCGAAATACTTTCAGCAGAAAAATGAAACCTCTTTAAAGCTTCGATACTGCAAAGATTCGTATAAATTAAAACTGCGCCCTTGACTTGAACAGGGCTACTCAATGGAAGACCAGTGACAAAGCATCCACTGCAGATTTTAAGCATTTTCCCAAATGATTTAGGATCTATTGGTGGGGGGGAGGGGGGGAAGTCTCATGAGGGAAGAAAACTGAACCTCGTATGTTGTTTACTTTTCCTCCATTATGGTAGTAGAGGTCTGACCATCACCTTTCTAGGCAGCTTTGTGAATCCAGGAGGTTGGTAGTGCTCTTGCTCATGCTTAAAGCTGGCATTGCCTGTGAATAGTGGTGCTTTGGCCAGTCCGTATCAGTCACACAGCATCGTATGCCGGTTTTGTGTCAATCGTGCAATGGCTTTCGCAAGTACTCCAGCAGAATTGGAGCGAGCAGACGTTGACTGTCCAGTGACTAGAAGTTCATGTTTCTTTGAGAAGGTGCTGGATGGTCCTAACCATTAAAAGAGTTTATTTTCTTACTCCAACAGATTTCCCCTCCCCTCCTTGATGTTACCAAATTTATCATCACTTTTGTCTTTCAGGTGTAACCTGTCTTTAGTGTTGCAGACACATCAGCCAACCATGCATTAAGAACTGGGCCCTTACTTTAATTCAGTATAATTTTCTTTTTGTCCAATAATTTCACGAGCACTAATCCACACTTCAAATGCAGGAGATACTTTGATCCCCAAATTGTTCAGCACTTCATGCAGGAAAAACCATAGGCCACAGTCATGAAACTCCTAGAGGATGGCTGCTGGCTTCCTGTGGCAGAGCTGGTTGTTGTTTTCCCCCCTCTCCCTTCTTTGCTCTAACCATTTTGTCTGTCTATCTTGTCTTGTATTCAGTTTTCAAAGCAATTGCCATGAAGGGCTTCCTTTTTTTAGTGCCTAAAAGGGAACAATAGATTTTCAGAATAAGTGTATATGTATATTTTTATATGACCGTCTGTATATGTGTACCATATCTATCATATCTATACTTTAATGTAACATACTGAGAAGTTCAAACTAAACAGAAATTAATAATTATTATTGTTATTTTTTATGAAAAGGTCTTTAAATGTATCCTTAAATGCACATGACATTTAAAATTATTCCAGTGCTGTATTCCTGAAAAACTAGATGACCTTTTCTCTTGAAATTGGAGAGCGTTTTTTCCTTAACAGTTATATTATGCACAGAAGATGAGATGTTAACCAAGATGTTAAAATGTATTGTTTCCCTTTGAAAGCTAATTCTGTTCCTCATTTTCATTAATGTTGGCTCATTCATTTTTCTTTCTTTCCTTTCCTTTCCTTTTCTTTTGCAACTGTTTTTGCATGAAAATGCAGAGTAGCAATAAACAGATTTTTCGTAAGACTTGCTTTAAGACTCTTCTCTTTCAGATCCAGTTAAAGTTTTTAAGTTCAGTTATTTTAAAATTCATACTCTTCAGTTCCGTAAACAAAAAAAAAATGGAGAACTATAATGAGGTGCAAAGCGATTTTCTAGCCCTCACTAATCAATAAATGCCAACAAAATGGGGATGGTGTAATGTCCGTAATTTAATTGTCTGCTGTTACCAGGTCACCACGAGACAGTAGCAGAAGCGGGGAGAAGCTGGAATTGGCCATGTCCAACCTCACTGCGGATGTCCTGGAATTACTCCTGGAGTTTGTTTATACAGGTTCTTTGATCATAGATTCAGCCAATGCGAAAACCCTACTGGAAGCTGCCAGCAAGTTCCAGTTTCACACTTTCTGTAAAGTCTGCGTTTCGTTTCTAGGTAAGAATTACTCCATCTAGTGAGGTTTTAAGATCTCATTTTAAGGTTTGCAAGTGTTCCTTCTAACAACTCTTAAAAGATCATTAGGAAACCCAAGATTAAATATAACAAAATAAAAACCCAATATTTATTAGGGTTGAGATTTGAATTTAAAATGCTGACATGGTGGCCAGTGGAAAACGTTCTGGAGAAGTGTAGCCCGTTGTTTGAGTGGCGACTGCGTTCACATCTTGGGTAGACATTTTTCTTGAATCCTGGTTCATACTTGGTATCATGATGACATTTTCTTTCCCAGAGGTTGATGACTACACAGATACCAGGCTGTAATGCTCAGGTTGCTTATAGCTGTGACAGCAAATGTTGGGTGTTACACCAGGCCAGCTTGGTCAAGCACTGAAAGTGCTAGACCAAGTGGTATAGCACTTAGTGGTAGACTCCCACAGAGGAGTCAGGATCTGCAATTTTCTTGCATCCGTGAGAAAATCTTTCACGTGTCCTTGGTAACTGGTGTGCCCTGAATGCATGGGGGATGTTTGCCCCACCAAGGGTGTTCAGATCAACGTCATCACCAGTGCCTCAGTCCATCCTCTCTTGGCCACATGAGAAGCCCATTCTTCTTGTCTGGAGCATCATGTCATCCTTCTCCTTCCACTTTCTGTATATTTTCCAATATAGACTGTTTCAAAACAGTCCAAGGTGACCAGCTCAGTTAACAAAGCTTTACTGGTCTGAACTGGAACCACCCAGCCCTGTTTGTGTCGTGGCAGAAGAGGAGCCAGAACTGGAGCTCAAATGAAACACGTTGGTTCAAATTCCTGCCTGTATCACATGCCACTCCTTCGCTAACATGGCTATAATATCAGTTAATGAGACAGTAATAATTTACAAGTTATTAACACAAATTTATTAATACAAAAAGAGCGTGGTTGATCTCATATGACTTACTTCCCTTGCACAAGTTCCAAATAACTTTTTTAGAGATTTAATTTCTGTTCAGGCTCCCTCATTTTGGTTTGGAAGATGTCCTTCAGTCTGGACCCCAAATGTATCTTCAACACACATGAACTATAGGTTCTTCTCGGGCAGTTCTCATTTAAAATTGACATTGAGAATTGCAGAGTGTGGAAGATGAGGGTTTAGAAAATGTTGCATTCATTGGAAAAAAAAAAACCAGCAAACCAAACTCAAGTGAGTCCAGTTTACTGCTGTGTTAATTTTCACTGCTAAGCTGACCTGGTGGCAAGATGAGTGGTGTGACTAGGCTGGTACAATAAAGGCATCAGTGAAGAGTCTGTGGCATTGTATTCTTCTCTTCTTTTCAGCTTTTTATATACGCCTTGTTTAAAAGTCTGTTCTCAAGTGAGTGGGTAATGGGGAGGTGAAATCTATGCTTTGCAGTCCCACCGTGTTGGCTGCGCAGCTTGAGTGAGGGCTCTGGCTCTGGCATTGCTTTCCCCCAGCTTCCCTTCATCGCCTTCTAAAGTGATTAGATCTTACAGCCTTCCCAGGAACAGATATGTTTAAGTTGCGCTATCTGTAAGGATTCAGCCACAAAACCAAAATACATTTATTTCACTAAATCAATGTGAGATTTCTCTTTTCCAATAGTTAATATTTGAATTCAGTGAACCATGTTATGGCATGAAATAGTAGAGTTGGTTATAAGTTCAGTGATGTATGGGGAGTCACTGGAATTTTGTATTCTCATTTGGAGAATTCATGGAGTGTAATTGCTTATTTTTATTTATAGCTGTGACTGGATTGCTCTACGGAGATAGTAGAGCATTTGCCATCTAAAAGGTTTAGGGAAAGGCATTTTTTCTTCTCTGTGGCTGTGTTTTTTCATCTCAGCCATCTCTGCTCCCCACAAAGCAAAAATATGGTAAAAATCAGGGTTTTTTCCAGCGTTTCTGGAGGATTCACCAGTATAAACAGCAATTCTTTTCCATCAGTGGCCGCATCTAAATAGCGAGAGAAGTGGAGGGAAGTCCAAAGAGGCCCAAAGAAGTAAAAGCCCCAAATTAATAGGTCTGTTCAGCATAGCACAGCCATCTCAGAGGAAATTGAGGTCATCCTTTTTCAGCCATGAAGCTCCGGCAGGGTCCTAACTGTTTGATGTCCAGGCAGCTCTTGTGTCCTGGGCCTCTCAGCAGTGTTGGGCAGAGGCACCCCAAATCTACTTCCACTTTCTGGTGGAAACATGCTGCAAATGTGTCAGGAAAATTGTTTCACTTCAACAGGAGTTTTCTTAACCAGCTTCACTGGGCTAATTATAGCCACGTTCTCTCTCTCCCCCACACGCTGTCTCCTCTGCTTTTGTCTAGACCATGAGAAATGACAACAGTTTTGTGCCGACTGATGCAACGATGCTGACAAGTTCGTGCAGGCACCATATGATAACTGGGCAAATGTTTGCAAACCGGTCAGGACATCATAGGTATTTACTCCATCCATATGGCTGAAGACTTGAGGTTTTTTCTTTTTCTTTTTTTTTTTTTTTTCATATTTGTTTTATGCTATCATCACAGTCATGGCTCAAATTGGATTTCAGGAGATTCATCAGTATCAGGGTTTGGATCCATGGTGCAGGGAGCCCCATCAAAGGAGTGAACAAATGCTGATCTTGTACTTCAGTCTGCTGCTGATTAAATAACAGTATTCTTCCTTAAGTCTAAAGAAGTTGGTGGAACCTGTTAGATTCATGGAACAGAATAGGAACGAGCAGGAGCTCTGAATTTTCTTAGTCTCCTGGGCAAAGGGCACAAAGACAAAGTTTGCAAAGAGTATGAGGGGGTGGTAAGAGAAAAACTGAACGATGGACCAGTGATGAGACCTGCATGAATATCCACCTGAGGGAAGAAGAGGCCTTTATGGTCCTTATGAATTCAAGAGAGAGTATTATGACTAGCTTTTTGTTCATCCAAGGTAGAGAATATTGAGCCAGCTGGAGAACCACACTGCCCAGCACTGGAGAAACTGAAGCATCAACCATACGTGGAGATAGGAGAAATGAGGAACACTCTCAAAGGGAAAGTGAAATCTTTTGGACAATGAATGCATCCAGAAGTCTTCCACCTGTTGCCCATCTTCACATGATTTTGACGCTAGTAGGAATACCTGAGGAATAAGATCTCCATCAGAATGTACACAGAATATGATGAGGAAATGCATATTTATGCTAATTTTAGTGATAGCCAAGTCATCATCTAGAAAGCATCTCTAAGTGAAAATACAGTACTTAATGCACACAGAGGGGACTTATATCAACCACTGAGCTTCCATCATAGTGTTACTGCAATTTCACTGAGTAATCCTTCCTACATACCGTCTATCTCTGACTTTATCTCAAGTCGTCCCACTGCCAGAAGTGCAGTCTTAGCAGTCTGCCTGGCTGATTATCTCATGATGACTCTGCACAGGATCCCACTCCAAAATCACATCTAACACAAGTGGGGAATACCAGCTGCTGATCTGCAATATTGTGACATACGTAAAAACAAATATGCTATCCAGCACTGTCTCAAATCAGTGAGAACCTACTCAGTTACATCTGATATCCTTAAAGTCCACTCATAAGGCTGTTATGAGCTATCCTTGAACGTCGGGAATAGTTTAGTAGTCAGCAGTCATGTTCTGAATGGGCTCAAGGTGAAACTCCACAAAAATGTGCTGTTACAAGTCCAGTGTCACTGTGGCAAAACCAGCAATTGGTGTAAACATGTCAGCATCCAAAGGAAAACAACTTGGGAGCAGATAGAGCAGAACTGGTCCTTAGCTGTCTTTGTCCTGTTGGCATCCAGAAGTGTCCCCAGATTGCAGTCACTTGTGATGGGCTATATTATATAGCAGAAGTCTATACCTAAGTAGTCATGTAGGCTCCCTTTGTAGTCAATGAAGAGTCACAGGCATTGGTAAGGCACGGTTCTGCTCATCCTGAAGTCATTATCCAAAATATGATCAGATTAATCCAAAATATTACCACATTGCTTCTTGGAATTGTTTGTTTATGAGCGCACAGGGATACTAATGTGATTGCTCAGTTGCACCATAAACAGCTGGAGTCAAGAGAGATCAATGCTGGAGTCAAGAGAGATCAGTCTTGCCCGAAAATTTTGAGTCAGAGCTGAAAAATGGAGGGTGTGTTTTTTCTGTTCACAGGATAGAGATTTTCCATACCTCTTAGAGGTGTTGCCCCAACCTCTGTCTTGCTCACCTGCAATGAATTGCTTTAGTTCACGTGCCAGCCGTCATTGTAAAAAGACATCACTGTGCTCCCCTTGCTGTGGTGCCCATCACATCAAAAGCATTGAAGTGCAAAGAAGGGTGTCTCCAGCCTCCTGAACGTGCCCCAGTCTGCATGTCCCTGGGACCCCTCCTTAAATGGCCTCATGATACTTGCCAAGTCAGACAGGGTAATGTCATTTGGGTCTGCCACCAAGCTGTTTCTCGGGAAGAGAAAGAAGTAAAGCTCAAAGGGACAAGGTGGAACTGCTTGGACACCAGTGTACCAGGCTGCATCAGTCACCCAGCTTTGCTAGAGGTAGAAAAACCTGTCCAGATCAGAAGAAACCAGTTGTAACCAGTGCTTTTTCTGCCCTGCGCCACAGGCTCAGCAGGGGATGGTATGGGAATCCCTCCAGACAGAGACAGACCGAGTCCTTTGAGAGTGAAGACTCATTCTTGCAAGTCTTTTCCATCGTGTGCTAGTAAACAGCTGCTTAATGAGTCAAACTTGATTATTACCTTCATTATAAACCCTATGAGGATAAGTTGGAGCAGTGTCCAATTTGTCTTTGACTTGAGAGTTTGCCAAGCGATGATGAGAGTTTTGGGCTCTGTTAGATGATTATTTTACCCCCAGCCGTATGTATACGTGAAACTGCGCCAACAGATGGAACCAAGGAACCTGGAAGAGGTTTTTGGTTCTTTTTCTTTGGAAAAGAAGAAATTTTGGGAGCATTGTGCTTCATAGCTATCAGTTTGCAGCCTGTCTCTGGGCAGTCTTTGAGTGACAAAATCTACTGACAGCAAACAGTGCTGCTGCTCTAGTCTGCTTGAGGAAATGGGCTCCTTGGAGTCAGTACAATCAACTGATGCAAAATGAGATAACCTAGATTCAAGATGCTGGATGTGTAAAAGAAAATAAGAAGAGGTGGGGGGAGGTGGGAGGAAAAAGACACAAAATTCCTAATCTCATGCCAGGTTAGAAAAAAAAAAAAAGTAGGTTGTAATCCCATTTTAATAAAAGCCACGTATAGATGGTGTGCAGGTTTTAAATCTGATGAAGGCAGAAGCAGAGGGTAGGGAAAAATCCCCAAGCATTTCCAGCAGAAGAAGTCTGATGGGAGTTTTGTTGAAGAGATGTGGGGCTCTCCCATATTCCTGTCCAGTGCTCTGAAATAGTGCACTAGGATATGACACTGCCCAAATGTGATCTACTTCTCCTCTGAGAGCACAGGAGCCTGCCACTGGTACCGATGCTTTTGTGATCTATTGCAGTCTGTCTCTCTTTTTTTTTCTTGGTCCTATATCTTAAAAGAATATATTCTGCCTATTAGTAGTGGCTTGGTTAACAAAAGCTGAGAAGAATCTGAGAGTTCCTCTTATAAATGTCTGAAATTGGTGGGTTTTTCTTCAGAATAGCTGAAAAGGAAAAAAGTACAGTCAAATGTATGATGTAGCACACTTTTAACGCAGAGCTACACACTGTGCCATTACTTCTGTTTGCCGGGTAGGAGATAATGCTGTCTCCTCTGTGCATGATTTTCTTTGAAACGCACTACACAACATTTAACAGAAGGCGTTAGTATAATCTGTGTTTTGCATAAGGGATGTCATCACGTTCAGCAGCAACGAAGCTCCTTTGAAAAAAAAAAGAGGGGGGAGGATTTTTTTTTTTATTTGAAGTAGCTTAGTAGCTGAACAGGGCAAAAATTATCATAAAGTGACTGCAGCATCCTCAGAAATGTCCTTAGTGCTGTTTGCATTTATTCTTAAGTGTCTGCACTGGTGTTTACATCTTTGCTGTTTCTTAAAGCAACATTGTAGGCGGTAGAAATAGCAGCAGTCTCTTGGCTGGGTTCCTGTCCCTTGGGAAGCCCCAGATACTATTATGTCAGTAGGTTTCCCCAGTGCCTTGTGAAGGCTTACACGAAACGCAAACTCACAAAGTGCATTTCTCTCCCCATCCCCAGCTCAGTTGTTAGACAGGCTTTGATTTTGTACATTAAGCCCCAGTCCTAAAGTAACGCAGGGTGCTGCTCCTAATTAAGTCCCTGAAATTAATTAGGGTTGGAGGTTTGTCCGTGGCACTTACTTTTTTCATGATCTCAGTAAAAATGTGAATCTTCCTTTTAATAATTCTCACTTTTTTTTTTTTTTTGCTTCTTTTAGAAAAGCAGCTGACTGCTAGCAACTGCTTAGGAATATTAGCCATGGCTGAAGCCATGCAGTGCACTGAACTATACAACATGGCCAAAGCATACGCCTTGCAGATTTTCCCAGAGGTGGCAAACCAAGAAGAGATCCTTAATATCTCAAAAGACGACTTCATTTCCTACATGTCCAATGACAGCCTGAACACCAAAGCGGAGGAGCTGGTGTATGAAACAGTGATAAAGTGGATTAAGAAGGACGCTGCAATCAGAGCTCAGGTAAAAATAATCTCAGCAGCCTCACTCAGCTCCGTTCCCATGAATGCCTCTTTTAAAATAGAAACCATCCCCATGCAATTTTAAACATGAGGGTGTGTAGGAGACTGGATGGGCAGTTCAGATAAAAAAAGAGAAAGGCAATGCCGGCTATGCACAAAATGTGTGTAATTTCAAGATCTGATCCCCATATCTGATCATTTAGAATCAAAATCTCATTTGTGACATGCATGGTACAGAGCTAGGGCCTCGAGTTGTTGGCTGCAGGCTCGGTCAGGGATAAATCAGGAAGGATTAGACTTGTGTGAGATGCTGCTTTAAGAAGGGGATACATTTTAGTAACAGTGGGAAATAAACATCTGTCAGAAAATCTGTATTTCTTTTGATGCCACATACTGAATGAGTATAACTTCAGTACATAAAAAACAAAGATTCTGTATCTTTATTGGCTGCTTAGATAACCCCTTGGGTATTATATATTTATTAGAGTTATCCTTTCCTCAACCATCTGAGCTATGCAGTCTGCTCTTGACTTAAAAAACTGAGTGTATTACTGTGCCCAGCACTGTCTCCAGATAAAAGCTAGAAGCAACGACTATTTGGAGGCTGATGATTGTCCTTAGGACCAGATGACTTCCCTGGTGCTATTTAAAAACCTGCTGCTTGTCTTCATGCAGCTCTTGCAAGTCAACTTTTGTGGGTAGTGAATTGTGGTGGTCTGAACCTCAGTTTGGAGGCCAGTTCTCCCCACAGCCCCCAAAAGCAGAAGGTTGTTTTCACCCTCCCCCCTCCTTTGGAGGCTAAAGTTTCTGGCCTACCCTGGCAAAGCCAATTTCTGTTGATCCCCGGTCACAGTTAGGGACCAGACTGGGACTCGAGGAAACACTTTGCCACACATTTTTGATGCTGTCCCAAATCACAAAATCACACCAGGGTCAAGCCAGCACTCAGCAGGGTGATCCTGTGCCCGGGACCTGCCACTCTCTCTGACCACCTCCTGCACATGCCACGGATGCCATTTAGTATGACCCAATATTATTATTGCCTAAAACATTTACACACTATCATTGATTTATGGAAATGGGCCCCTCTTTGGCTCTCACTGGCCTTGAAAAACACTGTTTCACAGCGTGTTTTACTCCTTGCCTAAAGTTTGATGACAGCAGTCAGCTCTGTGCAGCTCTGAGCCCTGAGCCTAACGTAACCTTGGGGATTATTCCCAGGGGCCGGAGTGCGGGAGCCCTGTGGCAGGAACCTGTTTGCCTGGTGCAAACAGAAGGTGTCACTCACCAGGCGGTCCAGGTTACATTTTCAAAATTGCTGGTTTAAATACTTCCTTCTGTGCCCTACTGTGGTGATGTTATGAACTTATTTTTTTTAAGCAGTGGTTTTTCTTGCCCCCCTCTCGCTGCTGCCACCACTGTCATCTCCTCTCTCTTTCTTTCCTGTTGCGGTTGGATTGGTTTTCTGGGTTTTTTTTATTTCTAAGTTGTCTTCCCTTCTGCCCTGTTTCTGCAGTGCCTTTGTAGTTTACAGTGGCCGTTTTATTTGCTTCTCCAAATTTCTCTGTGGTGCTTTGGTTTCATGCATTACTTTACAAGGGCTTTTAATTTTTAATTTGTGTTTATCCAGAGATGAGGGTCTCGAATAAATTAATATTAAAGATACCAAGCAGATAACTATGTTCATGCCCAAACTTACCATTAAACTCATTTCTTTGGATCGTAGTTCTCACTTTTTTTGTACTCTGTGCACTGCTTGATCTATTATAAAGCTCTTAGTTAAATAGGTACTTATTTTCTAGAAGTAGGAACTCATACCATGAAAAGTACTATCTTTACAATAATGACTTCTGCATTTTCAGAGCCCGTGGAACAAATAACTGTGATGGTGGATAGGAAGGAAGATAGACCTAAATAATCTTATTTCTGATAAAGATGATGAGTGAAAATTTGTGCTTGGTGTACGGCAAAGCCCACCATGCTGGGAAGTGCCCAAGCTCCCATGAGATGCGCAGGCTGCTCAGAGCTTTGCAGAACTGGGCAACCATGGCAATGGCAAACGTGGGGTGGACCTTCTTGTGGGAGCTGTACATGGATATTTTGACAGTTTGGTGAGATGGAGTCCCTCAGCTCTCTTTGGGCTCTTTGGGGTGGGGAACCAGCACATGGACGACACCAGTGCAGCAACAGGATTGTTGCTTCTGCACCCAGCTGGTGGGATGTGTTGGAAGAGTTGCTGGAGAAGTTTTAGCCATGAATTGCAACAGCCCCAAGAAATCACTCCTGCTCTACCACACGCCTCAGGTGACTGCTCTGGTTTTATTTCTCTGTCCCAAAGGCAATCCTGGCAGTTAAATATTTCAGGTCCTGGATTTCCAGGGCCCACACTTTCTTCCCATCTCCCCCTCCTCCCTTCCCCTCTCCTTTTGCGTGACAGGCCAGGCTCTGTCATCACGTTTTTATTTTCAGTAGCTCCAACAGCAGGTTATTATAATGCTTCTTTGGCAGCTTCTTCCAAGCACTGAATTGGTGATTCCCCCAAAGGTGGATGTCTTGCACAAACAGGGGAAGGTCTGTGCTCTTCGTCTCACCTGCATCTCCATCTTCCCTGGCCAAGCCTGGCAGGGGCTCGCTCATCAGAGACATCCCCACAGAGGAGCTTGGAGGAGCCCTCTCTCTAAATCAGCACCCTCTGCCCCTAGGGCAGCTGCAGCCCTCCAAAACTCCTTGTGCTTTAATGGCTTTGTGTCACTCTGGAGTGCAAGCTTACGCCTGGGGACAGTAAATCTCACTGCTTGTGTTCCCCACACCGCAGCTCCTTGTGCGGCGCTCTTACAGCAACTTATCCATCACTGCCTCCCCTCCTGCCCAGATCCCTTTCTGAGAGCCTCTGGGTAGGAGATTTTCATCTGAGCCTCCCATTCTCCTGGAATGGGGTCGAGTTTGCTATCTTCATGCTTTTCTCTGCCTTTCTAAAAGCTCTTCTTTGGATATCTAATTGTTTCTGCTTTTGTTAATTCTTTCCCCACCAGGCTGGAGGGCAGAGACAGGGAAGGAACCAGGATTTGCTTGCAAGGCAAGCTGAAAAGCTGTGCTCTGACTGACTTCTAATTTTCCAAATTGTGCTCATACAAAGTCTTACAGAGCTTATAAAAGTGCTCTGTGGCATTACAAAAAAAAACCAAACCAACATCCGAGCCTGGTTACAAAAAGGGAATAACAGTGTGTTAAAGGTTACTGATCCATCTACGTAAGACAGAAAGGCAGTTCAGATAATGACATATATGTTAAGCTAGGATTTGGTAAATAACTGTATCCAGTGCATTGGAGCAGCACCCCAGCTCATATGGTAATGTTTATGGGGCTACTTTAGTGCTGATGGTAGTGCAGTCGTGTAAAATCAGTCTAACCAAAAGAAGCAACCTGTGATGTGAAGTCCGGACTAGGTAGGTAATTTCCTGTACCAGCGGATGCAGAGCGCTCGCTGTGGGAGTCCTCTTGATTGCTTGTCACTGACTGGAAAGCCTGCAGCCAACTGACACATCTGGAAAAGCTGAATTTACTGGTTTTTCTATTTATTTCTCTTCCTGACTGATGGACAAGATTGTAGGGTTTATCCTAACAGTTATCCTGTTGATAAGCTTATTACAACTCCGGCGAACTCATGCAAGAAATATATTGTATAATGGAGACTTTACTGTCTGGAAACCAGGATGGTCTGAGCCATCCAAACGGGCAAAGATTTCTGCCAGGCCCTAATCAGTCTTCACCGGAGCTCAGCCAACAGCTGTCTGTGTGGCCTTGGGCGGGTTGCTTCACCTTTCTGTCCCTATTTCTTACATTATTAGCTGGAGGGAAGTGATGCCTCCCACAGTGGGCTTTTGGGAGGATCTGGTGGATAACGAGCCATGTTTTCCACTGGTACTAACGACTGCTGGAGCTGCGCAGAGCTGCAGTCATGCCCAGCATCAGCACGGGATGGGGAAGATGCGAAGGTGCTGGATGTGCAGTGATTTGCTGCCTGCCCAGAGCACAGATGTACCAAAGCTCGTTGGAAACTTTCCCACTTTCTGCTCCAAGTCCAAAGTTATATCTGTTTACACTGACATAAAACACATAGTGACATGATTATTAATAACAGAAAGCCTGGGAAAACAAGACGTCCAGTTGCATGAAGCTTCCCTCTCATCCTGAGGAGGGACAAGAAGTGAGGAGAGGACAAACATTTCAACAAGTTGCCCGGAATAGTGCTGGAAGAGAGGCAGGTACTGCAGCGATGAGGGACAGGCGAGAAGCTCAGCTGAATGGCACTCACCTTTTGTTGCACTCTGCAAGGATATAATCGTGTGCCCTCTTTTTTAAACCCTGTTTAAAATCATGGTGTCCAGCAGGAAAATGAAATGTCTCCACCACAAAAGGCCTTCTATGAACTTGTGTTCTCAGAGGCAGATTTGTCTAAACAGCATCTTCGTGGTGTCTGAGAACCAGAGATGCGTAGACAAATTGGAGGTAATTTAGAGAAGAGCAACACAAATGATTAAAAGACTGAAGGAACTGATGTGAGAAAAAAAGGATTAAAAGATATGAATATGGATGACTTGGCCTAATAACAGCTAAAGAGGGATAAACATATGCAAGTGTTTGAAGCCCCAAGGAGAGGAGTTGCCTGGAAGGATGCAAGGGGTGTAACAACAGTAAGGACCACTGGGATGAATTTGAGACTTGGCAAATTAGCCTAAGCAAACACAAAGCCCACCTGAAAGCCCCGTATCTGTCAGTGAGGGTA